GAAGCTAAGGTCTTTTTTTAAAGCCAGTCTCTCCCTTAACTGCGCATTAACCAGACTCAGTGAAGGAGAGCTCAGCCTGGGCTACTGATTCCCTCACTTTAGCATGATTTCAATTATGGTTTACAGTAGAGTGCCTATTTTTAAACAGGCAGTAATCAAGCGTGTGGATGCTCTCACTTCCTATCATCATTACTACTTGCGAAACTAACTCTGAAAAGGCTCCAAGAAAATTCACTGCTCAGTGGGTCTGGCTACTGTCCACATGCATTTCAATAAAGAATTTATCACCTAAATGAACCAAGGGTCAGAAAAAAGTATTATTCTCCCTTCACAGAAGAGACATTAAGGTACAGAGAAGTCCATGACTCGAGATCAAAAACCAGGTTCTAAACCAAGTCAAATCTTAAGGTCAAAAAAATAGGACTCAAACAGGCTAACAAGCTCATGTGGCCAAATACCAATTTCTCTTTGAAATGCTCCCCTATAGATCCTACCCTTGAAGCACCCTTTGCATTCTTGGTCCAACTGATTTGTGCAGTTTGTGTCAACGTGAGGAAACGTCTTGATGTCACAGCCTGGTGTTTTGCTTCTCGGTACCGTTCTGCTTATGCTACCTCCAAGTGCTCAGTGGTTCCAGCTTAGTCTATGCTCCATAACTCAACAGAAATTACATAGAAAAGGCAAACCCCAACTGCAGGAAAATAGGAAGGCAGCACTGTGAACTGCCTCAGCTAATTGATTTTTTGTCTGTGTTAACAAGACAATACACAGTGTCATTTCTGAAGGGAACTTATCCAGATGCCCACCCATGACAAAGAAAGCTGCTTGAAAGTGCCTCCCAGCCTAAAGCATTTCACGCACATTCATAACTCAATTAAAACCACAATTGAAGAGATCCAACATACACTGTATCAGTTTGCATTTACTTAAGCCAGAGTCTGAACAAAGCACACATGCAAAAGACATCAGTATTAGTTAGCACTGCACACTCACGTGTGTGTAAATTCACATATCAGCCTGCAGATAAACACACTGCCCCAAGGGAGTCTATTAATGAAACTGTGCTGGAGGGAAGACATCCAATTACTTTGAATGACATTTATATTTTAATCACATCACACTCACTGAATAGCTTGCAGTTTGATGAAGCAGTCCTTGGAAGACTTTTTCATCATTTAGACAGCTCATGAAACATAAGCAATATGCTGTTGACACCAGAAGTCACTGCACTAAATACACCACAAGACACACAAATTCTTTCATCTTCCTATTAGGACAACATCGTGGTCTTGAAACGACTGAAAGAGTTTTCCTTGTAGAAGATAACTAAAAGCGAACAACTCAAACAGAAGCAGCTTTACTGGCAATTTAAGGCTTACACAGAGCTACCACTCAGTGTGTTCCTTAATTTTAGAGAAGATGAACATCACTTTAAGGACATTGCTCCTTGTGCTGGCTCACAAATATTTTCTTCAGTCATCTTAATACAATCAAGTCAGTCAAAACAATTTGCTTTCTTCAGACATTCAATAATGCCATCATCTGCATGGAACAGAAAAACTGATCACATTTAATGTGGTTTAGCATTAGTCAAGCATCATAAAGTGCTCTAAGTCACAGGAATAGATACAAAACAAAGAAAACAAGGATGCAAGATCATATATCATTCTTTAAACTACTGTGTTGTGTTTTTTTCTCCTATAAACACAGTATTTGTAACATTTGTTATAGTCAATAGACCACTTCTATTTCCCATGCCTTACATGAAAAAAAATCTCTTTCAAAAATCCAGTTATGTACTCTCAGATACTTCTGAACAAACAACAATCTAAAACAAAAAATATGAAATGATCATTGATTAAAGCTTGACTGAAAAATATGTGAAACTGCATAAAGTAATAACTGGTTGAATTACACTGCGAGGATTTTCTTTGTCCAGTATGCAGCAGACCATCTATGCTCATTAGGAACAGTTCAGTTCAGTCAAAAGGTGCAAGGCTGAGTATCTTGGGAACTAAACAGGAATTTGCTCATCTTGAGGAACGAGGAAAAGCTGTAGGGCGGAACAGAAATATTGCTGATTTCTCTGCGGTTTGTGACTTATGGCTGGAGAGCTGCTTTGCTGGAGGGAACTCAACATCTAGTTACCCTCCCAGCCAAGTAGGCATCAAGTACATTTTTGACTGCAACCAGTTGTTTTTAAATTACGCTTCTGAATCTTAGGCAGCTGTAGGTCCTCAAATAAATCTCTCCTAACTAATCTCTTCTTCAACAGTAGTAAATCCTGAGGGATAAAATGCCCTTCAGTAAAGATCTCTTTTAATGCACAGAAGCTTGAGCTGCTTAATTTCAATACCTAAGCCAGTCTTTAATTGCTAAGTGAACACTTCACAATTACTAAGAACACAATGCGTAGAACTGAGTCAGTTGTTATCATTAAAGCCCGCTGAACTCACCCAAACAAACACACAACCACCAAAAACATGCATAACTTGTAATGCTGTACATTCTTGTGACAGAAGGGAACATCAATGAGAAGTACTGGGTTTTTTTTGCACCAAGTGACACGAGCAAAGTTGGTAATTTTAGCTTCTGGGGAAAGAAAAAAAAGTTGCCAGCCTCAAGGATAGAAAATATGGCTGTTGTTGCTGCAAAATACATTCAAACTGGCAATACATTTGCTTTCAGAAATCAGCATAAGTTTTGACACCTCCATTTTTAAGAAATCGCATTTATCACCAAGTAAAGCTATAACACATAATATACACCTGTTCCTTTTTATAGTACAAAATATGCCAATGTATCGTTCTGAGTTATATTAGTCAGTAGGTTGAAACTAGAGACATCTGGGAAGCACATATGGCTTACATGACCACCCCATAACTATGGAACCATTCTCTTCAAGCTCAGACTTCCAGCACTGGTTTGCAGCGACCAAAGTGATCAACATCTTCTCAGGATGAACTAATTCCCTTCAGCCCAATTCCTGGTCAGCAATCACCAATGCCACTGTTAGCATCTCAGACCTGGCCTCAACTCACTGGCGCTAATGCCACTCCTTTCCAAGGGAGGACAGAACCACACAGCCTTTTCATTCCTAGAAACAGTTTCTGCAGCAGAGCTTACGCTGCTGTTGCCTGGGTCCCAGCCCCAAGGCTTCCAACTTCATCTGTATTTGTTCGTTCTTGAAAAGATATTTCAATGAACTCAGAACTCCATAAAAATGCATCTCTTGTTGTCTACAAAGCCACAGAAAACAACAAACACAAAGGGGTTTCAAAGGATAAGTGCCTCTTTGAAAAGCTGAGGGAAATACCAAATAGCAGTAGCAATTTCAACAACAAAAATATACTTAATGTTAAAATTATTTCACTATAAAAGTCATTGGTTCTGTTTACTTAGAGTTTATATTCTTGCAATCACTGCCAACAAATAAAGTGCAGTTCTTCATGACACTAAATGCCAACCCGGATGGGAATGTTTAGTTTTAGATGTCAATTAATGCTCCTAATGACCTATTACAACGTCTAAATTATTCTGCAGAATTCCAAGCAGGCAGGAGTTGAGCCACAAGGAAACATGATAATTGCTTCCACAGGCTTCAGCCATTCGGCATTGCAGTGACTCCACCAAAAGCATTTCCTTCAGCCACCCATTCAGTTATTTTAAAACAACTGCATAAAGAACAGCAAAAATTACAAAATAAGTGCTGAATTACAAAAACAAAAGGCATGACCCTGATGTGGCATTGCATCCTAAGGTCTGCTCCCATCCTGTAATCACACACATTCCAGATTAGAGTTCTGCTGAAGGGAGCAGGACTACTTTTAAGGTAAAGACGCAAATGAATTGAAAGGTATCAAAGGTACCTCTCAGGTTATTGAAAGAAAGTCTTTCCTAGAAAAAGAGGATGACACTGATTAGAAACATTGCAAATATACTGATGCAAAAAAGAAGATCAGAGAGAAATGAGCAACAAGGAGCAATTCAACTAGTAGCGAAGTGGGCAAGTTATTCATTAATCATGAGACTCAGAAAGGAATCAGATCAAAGCATGCCAGCATTGCAGCTGTAAGTCAGTGCTGCGCTTTAACAGATGCCCCACTCCTGCTGTACTCGTCTGTGACAATCTGAACCCACTGCTAAGCAGGCAAACAGGCAACAGCACTGAACATCTCACTGCTCCAATGCATGGAGAACTGTCAGGAAAAAAAAAAATAAATAAATAAAGAAACGGGTATAGCTCTGAAAGGGCAGTGAGCAAAATAACACCAAACTGCTTTCTGCTCTTTCAGCAAGCAGACTGTCATCAGAGAATGGCCAGGGTTGGAAGGGACCTCAAGGATCATGAATTTCCAGCCCCCCTGCCACATGCAGGGCCACCAAACTCCACATTCAATGTTAGACCAATACTAGTCATGACTTGTGTTCCCACGTAGCAGTGTGCGGCAGTGCCTTTCTAGCCCTATTACACACACCTCACTCAGCTCCAGGCGGCGGCTCTCCACGACAGGAGCCTGCCCCGGGCCAACCAGAGCTCTCCCGCTGCCGAGACGTGAATGCAACTATAATCGTCAAAGCGACAGCAGCAGTATGGTAGAGGGTTTGTTTTGTTGGGTTTTTGTTGTTGGGGTTTTTTTTGTTGTTTTTTTGGCAGGTTGATTTTTGCACACTTCTCCCACAAAACATAAGGAACATAATTCTCTAAAAATCTCCTGCAGCGCATCATCCCGGGTCAGCAGTGTTCCCGTACCTCCAGGGACTAAACCCCCCTCGCAGACACACCACTTCCCCTCACTTTGTCCACGAGAACAGCAACATCTCCCCTCGCCCAAAGCTCCAACAGCGGCTGCGGGGCGGCTGACGGCTGTTACCCGGCGCTGAAGGGCTGCCAACCCCTCGCCCCCTCCGCCTCCCGGCTGCGAGGAAGTAAAGTTGAGGCACTACCGGAGATACCCGCTGGTGTTGTTACCCCCTCCCGCTGCCCGGCCGCTACTCACACGAAGACCCCGAAAAGCAGCACCCGTATGCCGATCTCGATCGCCAGCTCCCGCATGGTGCGTCCCGGCGGACTCCGGCAGCCCCGCGCCGCCGCCGCCTCTCATTCCCCGCTTGGGGTGGGGAGCACCCGGGGCGGCTCGGCCGCCTCACGCCGCCGTCCGGCAGCTCTCCCTCTCGATCCGAAGGAGCGTGGCCGCCGCTCGGAGCCCCTCGAGGTGCGGTCCGCGTCCCTCCATCCTCACGCCGGGCTGCGCGGGCGGCGAGGAGCGGTGCTGCCGCCAGCTGACGGCGCCGACGCCGCGATAGAGGCGGGCAGCAGCGCGGGGGGAGGGTCTCGGTGACTCACGCGGTGTCTCCCCGCGCGGGGGCCGGGGGGGTTCCTGGGGATTTCCCGAGATCGATGCCCCGCCTCAAGGAGAGCGCCCCGAGGCTGTTGGACGGGCTGGAAGAGAAGTGAGAAGCGCTGCTTCTGCCTCGTTTATTGCAGTCCTCCGCTCCAAGCCTCAGCTGAAAGAAATTAACTCTTTGCCCGCTGCGAAATTCTCTCTCTCTCTCTCTCCCCCCCCCCCCTCAGGGAAGAGTACAGCTCATACGAGGAGTCATAGTGTGACTTCGGATGGAACACTGCACTCCCGAAAAGATGGACGCCCCCAAAATAGCGAGGTGCTGGTAGCAGCTGCTGTTCCTAATAACTGCTGCTAGTTTGTGAGACGGGCAGCTCCATCCGAGACCTCCCATGTCGGCACCGAGCTTGGCGTGTTTACATAATGTTTGTGTAAAGGATTTGCAGTGTTTGAACATTTCCTGCAGGGTGCGTGTAACAGGAGTTCCACGCGTTCAGGCATCAATGTTGTTTTAAACTCTACTGCCTATTGTTAACGCAAATAACCCAGGGTGGCACTCTGCCTCAGCCGGTCAGGCTCTACGCAGTACATCAGCTCTCCTCCTTGATCCCCAGAACCAGTCCAGCTCAATGAGCAGGCAGAATAGTGGCTATGTGGGACTGCAGATTGCTGGCATGGAACACAGGTGACAAAACAACATTTTCACCCCATCCCCACGGCAAGCTCGGAGCCACCTGGTCCCGAAACTGAGAGGTTGTGGATGCCCCATCCCTGGAGGCTGGATATGGTTCTGGGCAGCCTGGTGGTTGGTGACTGCATATAGCAGGGGGTTGAAACTAGATTATCATTGTGGTCCTTTTTGACCCAGGCCATCCTATGATTCCATGATCTTTGTGTTGCTTTAGCCTACTTTTGCTGAAGGTTAGTTTAACTACCTTAGGATTGAATCCTAATCAACTTTATTTTAAGAAAAATGCAGGCTGACCGCACTAAATCAAACTAATTCACATCTGAGTGCTTTTAATTATCCGTCTTTCTATGGCTGTTGAAGGCAAGTGCTTCAGGAAAGCCTTCGTAGCTATTAATATTGCACATAGTTACAAAGCAAACATCAGCACTGCATTAGGGAAACAATCAATTTTACTGCATGATTATTGCTCAAGAGTTATACGCTGGAGGGGCTTTATTGAACCTGTCTGCTATATGTATCAGATGGAGGCATTGAACTCCAAGTGCCATTCAGAAAAGCTCTTTCTTACCACTATCGTGGAACATTGTGTGGAAGGAGCTCCATACTGACATCATGTAAGCAGTACAGTCATGAGAGTGGCAGCAGCTTAGAAAACACAGGTGCGTGACTGCCATTGGAGACAGCACTTCAAATGTTTGTGCTTCTTAAACAAGATCTGCCTCCCATGCGTGTCTCAATTCACCAAAAAGAAAAAAAAAAAAGCAATTTTTTTCAAGAAACAAAGCTAAATGTCAAATCTACAAGTTGTTGCTAAAGGACACCTCCCCTTCCTTTGAGAAAACACACAATTGGTTTGTATGCTATTATTGAATATTTGTATTTTCTCTAGTTCCTGTCCCAAATGACTGGTGAGTTCATGTATACGTTGTTGGTAGGTGTGCATAAGAAAAATCAATGTTTATAGAATCAGCCCTTATCTATGGGAATAGCCACATGCTTGGTGTAATACAGCCAGCCGTGTAACCTGGGAGCTGCAGGGACTGTCAGGCGATACTGGTTCAGTCACCATCACTGAACGATTTCAGATCCATCTGGAGGTGGTGCTGAGGAACGTGATTTAGTGGAGGGTTGTTAGAGTTAGGGTAGCATGGTTAGGTTGTGGTTGAACTTGATGATCTTTAAGGTCTTTTTCAACCTGAGCTGTGACTCTGTAGTTACCAGATCCACACCAGCTATGGGGCACGCAAGTGACAGAATGGGCCAGCTGTGCTTTCCCCACTTAAGTATCTAGACACCACCTATATGGTGTTTAAATGGAAAACAGTCACATCTTTTCCCCTCTGCATTTTTTTCCTGCTATTATATATATTCTTTTCACTAGGCTGTGGATCCTCCAGTCCCTTTGGCTTTGATACAGTACTTGCAGTACTACAGAAGAGCAGATTTTCCTGATAGATTGGTGTAAGTTTGGTATCATTCAAGTCGTATCAGCAGAGCTAATAAATAACAGTTCTAAATTAGGAATGAAACATAAGTTATCCTGCTGCAGCTATCTACTTGCAGCGTTCTGATTCTCTAATATGCATTAGCTGATGGTGATTCATGAAGCTTAAATACTTCTGATTTATTTTCTGAAGTTAGATTAAGCTTATATCTGGCTGCTGAACAGAACTTGTTCTGAGTTTTCAACCAAATAGGAGGTAGAGAGATAACTGGCAGGCAACAGACTTCAGGCTACAACCTGCAGCAGGAGCAGTGTGGAGTCACTGTGCTGCAGCTACAGATTCTCACAGCAAATCACAGTGGGAACAACTCAGCTTACCATTCGTCCCACCCCTACCATAGGCATAGCATATGGGCTTAATGCAATTGACTTAGTTGTTACTGCGAAGGAGAGAGAGCTGGTCCCACTATCAAGCCTTTCAGGTGGCTGTCTGGGGCTGCCAGCAGTTTTCTCTCACCAGGGTTAGTATTAAATGTGGAGGTTGGTGGCCCTACCTGTAGCAAGGGAGTTGGAACTTGATGATCCTTGGGGTCCCTTCCAACCCAAGCCATTCTATGATTCAGGGTTAGACTCCCTGTGTGTACTGGCTCCAGTTTAGGAGCAGAATGGAGAAAGCAGCTTCTTCCTTTTCTCAGCTGTGCTCTCGCAGGAAAGCCTGAGCCGCCTGCAGTCCACTGAGAGGTGGTCAGTGGCATAAGCAGCTGCATGGCTCATCCTGTGTTTCTGGAGGCTACAGCTTTCAGTTCAGCATGATGTTCAGCCCAATAGGAGCTATTGGGAATAGGTGAACGGTTGGACTGGGTGATCTTTTAGGTCTTTCCAACCTTGGTGATTCTATGATTCTATGATTCTATGATTCTATGTATGACTGATCTCACCTGCCTTGGTGCCACACCTTGCAGCCCACGCTAAATTCAGCTTTAAAAAAAAAAAAGACTGACTTTGCATCAAATTTTACCCAACCAAAAAGCTGTGTGTGGAAAATAATATACTTGCAGCAAAAGAGTTGTGACAAAACCCAAAGTGGTGGTTACAACTGAAACTACAAGGTTTTTTTTTCTGTTTCCAGAGAGCTTGTGACACCTCTGGGATCTTAAGCACAAAAGAAAAACAAGCTTGAAATAATGCTGTCTGGCTCATTCTTTCTTGTTTTTGATGGGTTTGTTTTGTTTTTTTTTCAGTTGGAGATGCCTTTAAGTCCATAAAGCCTCGTGGGCTGATGGCCACAGGGCTTTGCTTTCACATAACCTTTCTTTAGAAGGTTATGTGAAACTAACTTTTCTTGTCTTATGTGGCTACAGGCCCTGGTTAGTCAGAGAAAAATCACAGGCCCAGCCTAAATGCGGTCAGACCAAATCCATTTATACATCTGTTCATGGTTTTGTATCAGAGACAAGTATCACCTATGTTAAAACAAGCCTTCCCAGGCTGCCCAGGTGAAGATAAGCTCGCCTATGAACAAACATTTGGAGCATTTCAAATGTTGAAGAAATGCATTTGAATCTGATAGAATACTGCAGGTTGGAGGATCCGTAGGTTTGAGGAGGGGAAGGGATAACAGCCTTACTTATTTATTTAAACAAAAAGAAAGAGGAAGAGCAATGTTCTTTCAGAATTCAGATTACTGCTTTGTAAGCTACCTTTGTTTTTCATATCAAAATACAGCGGAATGAAAGTCATAGTTAGAATCATAGAATTGTATCAATAAAAGCCCCGTTTAAAGCCTGTGTTTCCTCTGGATCAGGGTGTTAGGATGTCATTGTTTAATGACAAGCTACAAATCTGCCATTATTACCTGTGTGAAACTCTTCGATTAACACAAACAGGTGCAACCAACCAACAAGAGTCCCTTTTCTTTTTTCCTCTGAACTTCTACCAAATGTCAGTCATTCCATAGCTCTCTTCTCTCTGTCAGTTGCCATTTTCTGTTACTTAAACACAAATGACGAGGAATGAAAAGAAAAAGAAATTTGGAGCATGTATAAACACATCATTTATTTCTGAGAAAATCTCTAAGTATATGTGTGGGTACGTCATGGGAAACTCTTAAATCTGCATAAGTTATTTCTTCATTACGAGAGCTTATTCTGGAAACAACTGGCCTCCTTATTTATTTATTTGTGTTCATTTCTGTGGTAAAAAGCACATCCACAGAATGCTTCAACTGGTGGCCTAGGGCAAGGTTATGTGAACAGTTTGTACTGTACTGGGAGGTCAGGTCTGCACAACCACATCAGGACCATGTTACTCAACAGGGGAAAGCGTCCATTCCTTTATGTGCACTTACAGTGCACTAATGAGATTGTGGTGGAGATCTTAAAGACTATCCAGAAAGGAAAGCCAAACCCAGAATTTTAAGTTATAACATAAATTTTTTTAGAATTCCTGAACCAACTGTACTGTTTGTGGGCCAAACACCCTCTTACTGTTTATAACTTTACTGAGTTTTTTTTACAGAGTAAAGACCTCGCTGCTAAAGTCAGTAAATCACTGGTTATTATTACCTTATATATAAAAAGGAGTATACAAGAGCAGATAACTTTCTTTTATATTTCCTCATGATGGCCCCATCAAGGAAATAGGTAACAAGTGTACTTTCGTCTCAGAAAGTAAGAATTATGCCTCCAGCATGCAATAATATCTTACAAAGATATTAGATGGGACATACTGTATAGCTTTAATTTAGTGCTACCTCTACGTGATATGGATTCTTCATGGTACAGAGAAGCCAGGGCATTGACTCTTTGTGGAGTTTGGAGTAGATGAACTCCAGAGGTCCCTTCCAACTCCTACAATTCTGTGATTCTGTGACACAAAGCCATGCAAGGTGTTTGAAGTGAGCCCTGAAGCTAGGCATGGCTTTTGTATGAGATTTACAAGTTTAATTTGCACAAACAAAACCTGTTTCTAAGGCTAAGCAGCA